CAGTTGCCTGAGCCATCGCCGCGGGTCAGCAACTTCCCGGGCAGCGTCCGGCAAGCCCGCGCAGTAAACCGGCCCGGAGGAAGCCCGGGCGCCGGGTATGTTGCGGCCGGCTGGCACCCTCCGGTGACCTCCGCTGTTTACTATGTAAGGAGGTCAGCTCCCGACCGCCCGCCGGAGCCGGAGACGGCGGCGCGGCTGTCAGTGGTCGCCGACAGTGAGGCGAGGGTCACCGAACCCTGGGAGCGTCACTTACGCTGTTCACCGTCACTAACGCTCACTGTCTTCAGAGAGCTAAGCTAAACGAAAGATTGCGCGTCGTCGGTGAATGACGGACGTTGTCAGGCGCGCGTGCGTGACCTCAGGAGCAGTGGGCGTTACACTTGGAACCGAACGACGAGTTTGCTGAGTTTTTACGGAAGCGTTTTTCCTCCCAAAAGACTGGCGGGAGTGCTTCGGAGTACGTCTATCACGTGCCGTGGAATGACTAGTTTTTTTGCAACGAACGGGTTGCTGCTTCCTGAAACCCTGAAACTCCGTAGGACTTTGTCAGATGCAGACGTGCCAAGACATTGTGACATACAGGATGTGTCGCGCTAGCCATGTAAGCTCACTCTGAAGTGCAGAAACGGCGTCTAGCCAGACATCGTTTCTCAAGGCCCCGAAGGTCGCTTCTGATGAGCGTGTATGAGCATTTATGGCCGCGCATGACATCGCACGGCCGTTTGTTGAGCTGCTAACAGGAAAAAGAAGCCACGATCACGGCAATCGTCTGCCGGGTGCTAACAGTCAATGTATACATATTGCATGCTTTCTGCAAGGAGAAAATCATAATGCCGATGTCGGGCCCTTGCTATACGACTCAACATGGTATTCATAGCTAAGCACCAGCAAAAGAAATCAGCTATGTCACCCATTATCCACTACAATGCTGTGAAGCAAAGTACCACAAGTTAGTTATAAGGCTGTACATGCTCGAAGCGACAAGAGCGACTTAAGTTAGTCAAATATTAGTTCTTTAGAGTGTTTCGGATCCACAGCAATACAGCCCCCGCCCCCCCCCCCCCGCCCCACACGCACACAGCAAAAAGGCGCGCAAAAACGCACAGCTTACACCTATCTTTAGAGAAAGGAGTCTGGGGAGGAGGAGAGAGTGATGAGGACGAGGACGATGTGGCCGAAATTTTCGTTTTCATCGCGGCCGGCGGCAGCGGCGGCGGGTGCGGCCGACCGTGCCGGGCGGCCGTTGACCCCGGGCCGGGCCGGCCGTCCGGCACTGTGCGCCACCGCCGGCCGACACCGTTACGGTGACCGCTGTCGCTCGGCCGCCCTCCGGCGCCGGACAACGGTCACGGTCGGCGACGACACCCGGACAGCGAGCACCGGCGACAGAGCCGGACAGCGGCACGGGCGGCGACGACAGCCGGACAGCGGGCACCGTGGCAGAGCCGGAAAGCGGGCACGGACAGCGGCCACCGGCGACAGAGCCGGACAGCGCCACAGCGGCAGCTACGGCCTGGTAAAGGCAACAAATCCAGACAGCGTCCAGTATGGCACAGCCGGGTAGCATCCCAGGACACAGACGGACAACAACCACCCGCGGAACGTGCCGAACCGATTGGAAAGCACCGGACAATCCGGTCCGAGTCCGTTCGACAGCGGCACGCTTGCATCGCTCAGTTGGTTGTCTTGTTCGACGGACAAGCCGACCGCGGCAGACCACAAGGACCCGCCGCTGACCGTCAGCGGCGTCTGGCGGGGGCGAGGCGCACTGTCACCGGTCACCGGCCGCCGGCCACCAGGGCAGCCGCAGGGTCATCGGACGCCGGGCGACCTCCATCAGCGCCGGGTGCTGCTGATCCGCGGCGAAACACGCCTGTCTGTGCATCTGTGGCGGGGCTGGCTCCGGAACCGACGGACCGGAGCCGGCAGACCGGGACGGCCAGTAGACAACCGTCACTGGACCGACGCGCTGACGGTCAGGGCGCCGACGCCAGGCGCGGCGCCGTCGTGCCCGCGTAAAACAGGCGTCGATCCGACCGTCGGTCACGATTAGAAAGCTCTACTACGCGGCGACGCCGCACTACGCGCCGTAACCCGAACCGGCTGACTCAGGCACAATCGGGAGCAGAACTTTCGTGGTATACGTAACACTTTCTGCGGCGAGTGCGCGCGGCGGCGGCGCGCCGCGGCGGAGGCCGGCGTGGGGCAATGACCGGTCGTCGACCCACTTACAGGTCAGAAGAAAGTGAGATGAGTCGCGGCGCACAGTCGTAGCGCGGCCTGATGCCGTCGGACGCGTCGACCGGTCCGGCACGCGAGTCGACGAGCTCGTCATCGAGCTGCCGCGAGCGGCATGGTGGGGGGGGGGGGGGGGGGCGAGTGCAGCGCGGAGGGATCCGAAGTCCGGTCAGAGAAACGTCGCCGCATCCTTGCCGGTGGCACACTTCGCAGCGTCCGGCCAACAAAAACAGCTCTGTGGACGAGCGGCACGGCCGACAGCGCAGGGAATCTCGGCTTCGACGCTATGGGCCCCGCTTTCGATGGCCGCGCGGCGACCTAGGAGCGGAGCGGGAGCGCACGAGCGGATGGCAGCGTCCTCTCATCTCCCACCGCCAGCCATCGGAGCGGAGCGGGAGCGCCGAGCGGATGGCGGCGTCCTCTCCTCCTCCCACCGCCAGCCATCGGAGCGGAGAGGGAGCGCCGGAGCGGATGGCAGCGTCCTCTCCTCCTCCCTCCGCCAGCCATCGGAGCGGAGCGGGAGCGACGAGCGGATGGCAGCGTCCTCTCCTCCTCCCTCCGCCAGCCATCGGAGCGGAGCGGGGAGCGCGAGCGGATGGCAGCGTCCTCTCCTCCTCCCTCCGCCAGCCATCGGAGCGGAGCGGGAGCGCCGAGCGGATGGCAGCGTCCTCTCCTCCTCCCACCGCCAGCCATCGGAGCGGAGCGGGAGCGCCGAGTGGATGGCGGCGCCCTCTCCTCCTCCCTCCGCCAGACATCGGAGCGGAGCGGGAGCGCCGAGCGGATGGCAGCGTCCTCTCCTCCTCCCTCCGCCAGCCATCGGAGCGGAGCGGGAGCCATCGGAGCGGAGCGGGAGTGCCGAGTGGATGGTGGCGCCCTCTCCTCCTCCCTCCGCCAGCCATCGGAGCGGAGCGGGAGCGCCGAGTGGATGGCGGCGCCCTCTCCCCCTCCCACCGCCAGCCATCGGAGCGGAGCGGGAGCGCCGAGCTGATGACGGCGTCCTCCCCTCCTCCCCCGCCATCCAACTGAGCTGCTGTGTGCTCGCCTGTCAGCAGTCCGCTCCTGCCGGCCCTCCTTCCGCCAGCCAGCTGAGCTGCTGTGTGCTCGCCTGTCAGCGGCCTGCTCCTGCCGGCCCTCCTTCCGCCAGCCAGCTGAGCTGCTGTGTGCTCGCCTGTCAGCAGCCTGCTCCTGCCGGCCCTCCTTCCGCCAGCCAACTGAGCTGCTGTGTGCTCGTCTGTCAGCAGCCTGCTCCTGCCGGCCCTCCTTCCGCCAGCCAACTGAGCTGCTGTGCGCTCGGCTGTCGGCAGCCTGCTCCTGTCCGAGAGGAAGGCCTGGTGACCTGGCAGTGCTACGTCCCCCGCTGTCGCAGTATTCGCCGATGATGCACGATGCTCACGCGTCAGGCCTGTGCGATACGCTAGAGCTTTGACCGGCCTCCGTGCGAGCACCCCAGACTCCTTGTGTGCTTCTCGGTCAAATGTACCGCAGTGACATCCAACGACAGTCCGTTATCGGGAGCGGGCTTGAGCCGAAGCTCGCTTGACTGTGACAGACTGCGTGAATGTTTCGCGACGTTTTCTAGGTGATGAACATGTGTCCTTCATCGTGTCAGTAAGGCTCAAAGCGAAAGATGTCAATACGAAGCGTCCACTGAGAAAAATGTTACCGTTTTGGCTAGTGAAGATCGGCATTTTGAAACAGGTCGACCTAGTATGAAAGTCTGAATACACTTACATTCTGCTTATGACTTAAGTATGGTGCATGATTCGGGGCAAAGATATGGACGCCCTTGCTGAGGTCTCTATATGCCTCATAAGATAGAGCTCTGGTTTGTTAAAGACTGTTACAACTGTGATGCGTCTGTGCCTCCGAAAGCCTAGAGTGAATTGCAGATCAGGAAGTGCGGTCTTGGCTATTTTTATAACAAAGCGGACGGCTCTGATCTTTTACGATCCAATTAAATTCCCAGAGACTGGTTGGATTTTTCCGTATCGTGATTGACATTAACAAGCAGTGTACGTTATGAGGATAAAAATACTGCCACCTGTCATGACGCTCGAACTCTGTGGTGGTGATAAGCGTAGATAGGCGTACGTAGCGGCCATCAAGTTCCATTCGATGCATCTCCCCCTTGGACAGCTGCCGATACACGCTGATAAGCTCAAGTGGTTTTATTTTCCCACATAAGCAGTGAACCATCGTCCGGAAGAGAATCCTTCACCATTGAGCCGAGCCCAGTCATGGCACCGCGACGGCCGAGCGCTTTTGGTCATGCTCTTTCAGAGCGTATCCGACTGGAGTGCCCAGTGGCCTACGTGTATTTCTGGACGATTAAGACTCCGGTGTCCGCTGTGCCCTGTTTTGGTGGGGGAATGAGAGGACGGCGTTGCTGTCGGTCTTGAGAGCTTAGTCATATGATGATATTGTGGTTAGCACGCACGATGGTTAGCACGCTGCTTTGATACTCAAACGGTTCAAAGCAGCGTGCTAGCCATCAGCTAATTCCGGGACCATGTCGAGGTCATACTATTGCGTAAGCTTCCATGGTGAAATAGTTTGGGCTCGCTCGTTCGCTAGCTATCATATTGCAACCAATCGGAGGATACGTGTTTAAAACAAAAAAGCTGTTTGCTGCAACACACATCCGTCATAGCTAACTCGGTCCTCATCAAGCATGAACGTCGATCTACACTTGCTCGCTGTCGTTTTAGCTGCAGGATTAAAGCGAGATACCGCCTGGCGTTCTGTGTTTCAGTAACCCTGTTCATCTTTCGTCGCTGTAGCTTACACCTATTCTTTGCGGCGAGAGATCCGGTGGGCTTAGAAAAACTTAGTTATGCACAACATAGTTTATTCCCGGAAAATTATGCGTCACTTCTAACTCCCATGGTCAGGGTGGCGCAGCAGCCTATTCATCGCTCACAGCCGGGGACGAAGCCGGGCCGATTACTCAATTGGGGGCTAAGCCCGCAGCAAGACACAACACCTACTGCACGGCCGCCGCTGAGGCGTCGTGCAACCGCGAGCGTATGAGGAGGCTCTGGCGACCTTCGCGCCGGCCAGTTTCCCGCAGGTTTCTGAGAATGCGGTTTGACTTCCTAAGCCTCCTGCAGCTTCCTCCGTTAAGGCTTACGCCTGCAATGATCCCTTCCGATGTGTGAGGAAGTAAGAGCGGAGTGCACGCGCCTAATTTGCGCCGCACGTACCGTTAAATATTTGACCCTCATCGCGCTTAATTTAGAAAGCTATCATTCTCGATTTCAGTCAACAGAATTCAGCTACGAAAGGCGGCAAACACCCGCGGATATTATCGGAGACCGATGGCCAGAAACTTCTCAGAACAGGACGGGCCCACGTGCAGAATCATTGAGCTGGTTTGGTGGTCCTAAAAACAGACCACACACTTTCTTGGGACGGGTGCTACCTTTGCAAGCCGATAGGAAATTTCACATTACTATTGCCTGCTGAGCCCCATGTACAGTTTGAGGGGCTTTCGCCTGCGCCCGGTCTGGCAGACGGCGACATTTACAAAACGATCATCCGGCAATGACACTTCTCGTATCCTGCAGAAACTACTGCGGATATTCAGATGTTACCGCCATGACCAAGACCCAACGAAGTACCACACGTTGTTGACATAGCAAGGGCATGGTTAAACTTGAGGAACGCCATCGTGGTCACTCAAATGCGAAATGCACGCGAGCTGGTCTGAAGCTATGTTGCGGAAATTCGCGCGAAGCCCTCAAAACATCTTAACCTCACAGAGCCTTACAAAGATGCTACTTAGAGCGGGACTCCCAGGTTTGATGTCTGAAAGTCAGAGTAAATGGGAGCAGCTTCCCTCCACACATCAAGCGCACCGCGGAGCGCCACGACTGATGGGCGCTCGAACAACGCCAGCCCAACCAACACATCATTCATATCAGACAAAACACAAGGTCGTCGACGGGGCCTTCCCAGCCGCCATCCCACCGGCAGACACACACCGCAGTCGGTGCTACGCCTGCTGCAGCTCGACCCGGGCCGCGTTCGCAGCGTGGAACTTGCTGACTTGGTGCCGGGCCAGTTGGCGGACGGCCACGTAGCCCAGCGCCAGCTCGACCAGCACGAACAGCACCTGCGGCCCGGCCACGGCCATCTCCGGCGCCAGCCGCAGCGCCGCCGTGTTCAGCAGCAGGATGCTGTGCAGCGGACAGGCCAGGAGGAGAGTAATGAGCCAGAAGCCGGCCAGGTCGGGCACGTCCTCCCGCAGACTGCCGACGTAGCCGACGTACAGGCGGGCCGCCTCCATCAACAGCGCGCCCACCAACACCGTCAGGTAGATGTAGCGGTTGAGAAAGTCCATGCGGTCGAACTTGGTGTTGAAGGCGACAACGAGCACGGCGCTCCAGCACGGCACGAAAAGGATGTTGAAGTAGAGGCACATCTGGAGCGGGAGGTATGCCACTAGCTCGTGCCCGAAGGGAGGCCGGGGCACACGGTTAGTCGGCAGCGTGTCGAAGTCGATTCCCGGGAAGATCGTCTCGGTGAGGATGTTGATGCTCCACCGTCTGCCGGCGTTACTCATCTTATCTGGCGGCGGGTCAGAGACTTGTCACACGACGGAAAGAGACGGCATGACCAAGACAGGGAAGCGAAGGACCGCACTGGACTGTGAGACGATTGGCAAACGAGAGGCCGTATCAAGGATCATGCATGCCATAGACACCGATGTCGGGGGGGGGGGGGGGGAGGGGCACGACGCTGCCAACCAGACATGACAACTGATCATCCTTCCACGTCAGAGCACAAGGTACAGCTTACACGACGAATAGATGGCACCATGTAAAACACTCAGTGGCACCACTTCGCACAAATCCGGATCGGCAATATTGACTGAGGCACCCAGGACTGCAGGTGCATAGCTGTCTTCGCGCCCCTCACGTGGACGAAGAAAACGGCGCGCGCAGAGGGATCACGATGCATACAAATAAAGCGGCAAGATCGTGTTTGTTCACCATCTCCTGGCAAAAACCGTCGAAACAAACGTGACTGCCGTCTCAATGATATCTGAACGGTCTCCGGCCCTCATAACGTATCACGGCCCGAGGTGACGATGAATGGTTGCAGCTTCCCGGTCGTTCCAAGGCCCTGATAACACCCAATAACCTTTAATATCTCAGGATCCTTGGTGGCGATGTTCAGTCTCCCTCTTTAAAAGCCACTGTTCCTTTTCGTACGCCACCTGCCTACAGGCGTACTGGCAGGCTTGAAGACTAAATATCAACGCAATTAATTGCAAACCGACGAGCGCCCATGGGCGCAACGTCGTATCTCTCCAATGTAGGCTTGGCACGAAAAACATTTGGCGAAAAAACACACATCGACTCCGATGCTGACACAATTCGTGAGGGGCACAGGATCTCTGGTGGACGTTTTTCCCTTTCAAATATCGGTCTCAAACAGGGCCATATGCAGAGCTTCACAATGGGGGGGGGGGGAGGGGAGCAAAACTTGGTGCATAACTCGGTGCAAACTCGAGCAGTGCATAACTCGGTGCAAACTCGAGCAGTGCATAACTCGGTGCAATCTCGAGCAGTGCATAATTCGGTGCAAACTCGAGCAGTGCATAACTCGGTGCAAACTCGAGCAGTGCATAACCCGGACCCAAGTTGCACACGTTTCAGTTGGGCACCTTGGGACGAACTCAAAATGTCTTGCAAGGCGGAGAACATATATTTTTGGCGTAAAAATGTTAATATAACAAATCCTATTTGTGGATTGTCGACAAATGTTCACATGCCTACTGATACATGTAGACATTTGGTAACAGAGGGGAAAGGAATGCGGCCCATCAATATGCTCTGCCCCTCCCCCCAAACAAAGCTTATTTACGAAGATCGATAGATCTACCCGAGTGTGCCTGCATATCCTGATTCAAGAAGGGGACCCACAGGCCTAGTGGCCTTTTATAATTCCCGATCACCAAAAGGTAAGGTAAGGAAAGGTAAAAACAGCGAGTGTCGCCTTCTAAGCACGCATGGTACACATTACTACTGGTGTGAAAATACACCACCCCAGCTCCGTCCTTCAACGATAGCTACAGCTGGCATACCCTCTCAAACGGCCTTATTACTACGCAGGTGTAGCCGATACAGCAACCAAACCGACCGATATGTGAAACAAACCTGAATAATGGCGATGCAACCACACACCCACCAACGGCGCTCTCAGCCTGTCTCCTGCGGCATTCTCGTTTTTTGTTTACGTATCTGCAACCATGGAAACATGACGAACGTGCTGAACTCTCAAGCGTCGGAACTTGATTACGCTGCCATCTATCAACCGTTGTAGAACCTTTGCTGCAAAGTTTCATCACCGGTCTACGTCACGTCGTATTTGTCCTGCCTGAGCACTTACCTCTGTTTTGTTTACACGCTTTTGGCGTTGCCATGCCGTGCGTACGTATATTATCGTGCAGATGATTGTCATTCGCGTTTGAGGAAGCCAGAGGAATTTTTGAAGTCCTTCCGGTTAGGCAAGGTAAGGTCGGACCTTTGATGCAGTCACCATGCTGGAGCGAGCTCATGATAAACTGTGCTGTTCTCTGGGCTTCTCCTTTGCGTCTACTTCCCTGTCTGCTCAGTAGCCGTGTAACTCGGATCACCAGTGTGTGTAATGTTGGTGGTCTCCAAGTAGTACACCTTTCCTTTTACATACTTGAGGGAAGACCTGCCTCTTGGTACGAGAGGACAGGCACATGATATATGCTAGTATGCTAGTCTGTGTGGCGCACGCTAGTAGCATAAACATGGGTAACAGGAGAGCAGGGTCATTTCCAAACCGCAATCATGGATGCATGCATGCAAAAAAATGAGCTTTTTGGATCTCAGGTAGGGCATGAACATGGTGAAAGGAGAACATCATTCCTGAACCCAGTCATTGATGCATCCATGTTGTAAAAATCAAGCTTTTATCTCAGCATATTGATGTCATGAACTGTGTATCTGAAATTTCATCTCAGCTCTTCAGCTGGAGGTGCAGAACAATATTCCACACTTCACTGTTGGCTTCAGTTTTGTATTTGAGTGGAATGCAATAGGCCAAAAATCGTCCACAGATTAGGCCCCGTCATGAACAGTTGTGCATCCACCTCCAGCAGCTTCAGCAGCATGTGCTCCTCCACCAGCTTCATCAAGTTCAAGGACTGCACAGATAGCACTCTACATCAACTTCACTGACAATTTGAAATGTCAGCCTTCCTGAGCTGATGCAGCTATCAAAGTTAAGTCAAGGACACCCAAGCAGGATAGATTGTCTGCATTCAAGAAAGCACATACTAAGCCAAATACATTGTCAGAAGCGATTCAGTCGCTGAGGGCACTGAAGCAGTCATCAAGACATTGTCAATATTTCTGGCAAATGTGATATTTGCCATCATGGACTTGTGACGGCGGGCAGTAATGGCGCCGGTGTCGCGGGGGTGCTGTGAGTGTGCGGCGCTCAGGAGCTCGCCATCGTAATTATAAAAATTTGAAGGTAGGAGCATGAATCTACCTGTTTTTTTAATTATTTACGATATGTCCTGCCTTAAACACCACAAATGGTGTACAATAATTTTTTGTAACGTTAGGTAGGAAAGTGTACCCGGACCCAAAAGCTAGCTGATTTGAAGCCTTAAAAGGGGCATTGTGAATTGCAGTGAATCATATTGAAATGGCTACATCTGTTTCAAACCACACACAAACATCGAACAGGCCATTTATGCCCAGTCAAGAAGGATTTCATCCCTAGGTCAGGGGCGTCCCCCTCCTTACTCACCAGGCATAAACAAAGTTACAAAGAGCACTTTGAATAGCATAGTGCCTAAAAAAGCCCATGGGGGATATACTTGTTACCGTCTTCCTCTCGGGGGTAGCCCGTGTGCATGCCTGATGAATGCCTGTACTTTTCAGAGTTCATCACATGTATTTCTTTGTTTCGCATCTCATGCAAGGATGTCTCGTCATTGGCTGAAAGGCCCTGCAAGGAGGTGGGCTGTTAGCTGAGAGACCATTAAAAGCTCCTGCAAGTTGGCTGAAAGACCATTTAAAGAAACATCGTTTTATTGACAAAACCACAATTCAGTAACACCAGCGTAGTTTGCAGAGTAAGACTGCAGTGTTAATAGCTGAAACTGTTGAAGGACAAGTTGCGGGGGGACATAAAACGGCACAGCCATCATATTCAGTTATTCTCAAGTCAAGCCATTTCGCTATTCCCACTAATATTGGTGCTGCTACCGACACAGTTTGGTTCTCTGCAGTTGACAAGACAAGTTGGTAGCAGTCAGTCTTCCTCAGCCTCCAACATCGCCTTTCTGTTGCTGGCAGTCAGGTAGACGGACCAGTAGACGGCCATGAACAGAGCGAAGAGGGTGGGGTACACCACCGTCATACCCCGCTCCAGGTAGACGGCCAGGCGGAGCCACTTGAGCACTGCAGGCGTCGCAATTAGTACCTCTTTGTCCGCCTGGAAACGGTAGAAGTGGTGTTGGTGCATAATGTGTGCTGTTTAAAGGGCAGGTGAAATGGACGGATGTTTCTCAGCTCTGATTATTACACACGGTCTCTGTTTCTTTCGTCGCTCAGTCCATAGATTTCGTTGCTGGATCGTTATAACTTTCAGGCCGAGCTTGACTGAGCCTGCCGGCTTAGAACTCTGGATCCTTCTTGCTGGGACTGAGTTACTTCGTGAGCAGGCGCGAAACGGTTTCTGGCAGGAAGAGCTGATAAGCGGGCTGTGTTACATTTCTTGTCAGTTATCTAGGGTCATTCGCGTCGCGTGGGCTTGGTATGCTCGGACTGCTGAGATGTGCTGGGTGCAGATGGGGGGCACTGGCGTCGAAAGGAACTTTGTTGTCATACGCTTGTGCCGTGTCATATCCTCGTTAACGCGCTTGCATGCGAGGAATTTTATGTGTTACATGCTCTCGCTCTCGATGTGTTATGTGTTGCATGCACTCGCCCTTGGTGTTATGCCGACCTTCACGCGATCTGCAGTGGCATGTGCCAAACTGGCAACATGCATATAGGTTTAATGGCACTGGCCACAATGGGTTTGATGAAAGAATGTATGTTCTAGGAATGCACTGACAGCACATTGCTTAGGTATTGTGTTTGATGACATAAGCCCTCCATTGCATGACAAATGTCACACAAAAGCAGCGCAGACTGCAAACGTTGCTGGTTCAGCACTTTTCCTAGTGGCGAGAAAGGCTACAGAGCCATGTTTACCGCAAGTCGGGCACCCCTTAATAGCATACTCGTGACATTTTGAATTCGGCATTGGACCAAATATAACGTGCAGCAGCACTTTCCTCGTAGTGCACAGCTCCCCAACTCCGTTAAGGAGTATCGAGTATCTTGGAGTGTCCTCGTCTTGGTTACACTTTGGTATTCAGTTGGAGGGGCGGCGGCTCGCTCGCTTTGCCGTCCGTAGCCTGAATTCGAATGGGAAGCGGGCTGAGTTTGCGGAGGAATGGAACTCGACGTGGAAATGGCGGGAGCTGTAGTTATTTTCGTGGGGCTGGCTTGGCCCCACGCGCACACACGCACGCACACACGCACGCACATTTGGTAAAGCAAGGCCCCTTCCCGGCTCTCCCCGTCCTCGCTTAAGCAGAGCATTGCCGCCAAGCCGAACAGTGCCGCCCACTGACCTGGAATGGGGTGTTGTTGCCGTGGAAGACGACGCTGTAGGAGCGATAGGTGTTGGAGGCGGCGGCCACGGCGCCGCGGCTGCCCTGGCTGGCGCGCAGCCGTTCGTCCACCACCGGCGCCACGTCGTCCAGCTGGGTGCCCTCCTCGCCGGCGATCTGCGACTCCTTCTCCACCATCGATAGGAAGCGTAGGTCCACGATGCAGTCCACGATGGCGGAGAACACGAAGAATATGCACATGAAGAGCCACACGTCCAGCGCCTTCACCTGAAACACCGGCCAATTGCTGGTGAGAACCCCGCCGGATAAGCGGTTGGCCCGTGGACGACATTTTCAAGCGCACAAGATTCGCGCGACGCCGCTGCGAAGAAAGCAGCTCTGTGCACCCTCCGGGGCGGGCGGACGTGTACCTCGTTGACGCCGGGTGTTGTCTGGCTGGTGGTGACGAAGATGGACACCAGCACCAGCAGCGTGGTGACGGACAGCACCATGCGGCCGTACGCAAAGTCGAGCGGCACCAGCAGCGACAGCCAGCCGACGATGACCAGCATGATGGACGGCACGTACGTCTGGATCAGGTGAAAGGTTATGTGGCGCTTGAGGTAGAATTTGATCCGGAGAACGTCCTTTGGACCGTCCTGATTTGGCTGTACGAAGTGACTGCTCCCCTTCGGGCGGAGAACGGCCACGACGAAGTGTTTCGTGCGTATCTCCCGCGCTCCCTCCAATCCGATGGGACCCCAGTTCAGTCTCAGCTGTTTGTTGTTGTGCGTGTAGCTCATGATATCCAAGTTGCAGTCCTGCTCGTCCATGGGGTAGTTTTTATAGGTCATTGTGCATTTGAAGGCGATGACGAAGAATGCGGAGTACTCGACGGAGTAGTTCTGCTTGAGGATTATGGCCTCGGCGGGCTGGTGAATGGTGGGCACGGATACCTTTCTCGCCATCGGCAGGTACAGGTCGGGCACCCAGATCTTCTCCTTCATCTCGCCGGGGAGAGAAAGCTTGTCCCTTGAAAAACCTGCTGTCTCCTTAAGAATATCATTCAGTGGCCTGAGACGACTGTCCTGCCACTTCACCTTGATGAAAATGGCGGCGATCACTTCTCCGTTCTTCTCGTCGATGGCTTCGATGAAGTCCGAGTAGGCGATCAGTTCGGCATGGATCGGCTCCCCTATAACGCGACCGTGAGGCTGGTCTCGAATATCGTAACCGGGGCCTGTGATCTTCCAAGGCGTGTGATGCGCAGCGTCGTGATCTCCAGGTATCTTGACGTGCTCCACGTGCTTATGCAAGTCGTTCGTGTGGTCTCGGTGGTGACCGTGCTCAGGCATGTCGTGGTCGTCGTCATGACCGTGAACTATCGGGTGTCTGTGTCTCGGCCGACTGGACCACCTAACCTTGGGGACTGTGGCCGCCGTAGTGCCTCCGTCGACTGGTCCTGCGGTCGAGCTGCCGGATCCAGGTTGTTGTAAACTCGTCGGCACAAACACCAACAACACCAGCAGAGCAAGATTGCGTGTCAGGGCCCGTATCTCTGTCATAGCTGCAGTTTAAGACTTGCGGTCAGCTAAAGGATCGGCAAATATTTCGTTGTCACATTATTTGGATCGTTTGTCAATTGTTTCACTCCACTTGTGTACCGGTGGAAAGATGTTGCCTGTTCTGATGACTACCCATGTGCTGTTATTTGTGCCGTTTTTGCCGTGTTCTCGACGTTCGTTGTTCTGTTCTCCAATTTTAGCTCGTGGCCTATTATCATGGTACTTCTCCTCAGGATATGCGCTTTTGGCGACAACGGAAATACCTCATTAGGAAGGTTATATGGGTATTGGGGTAATGCGGGTCAATAGTTCACAGGTAGGCGTGCCAGTAATACCGGTTTGTATTTTGCACAGCAGATATGTTCATGGTATGTTTGTTGCGTATCCTTATGAATGTGCAGAGGTCATGTTCCCGATCGAGGGCACTGACGCTGATCCTCACTGTTGTTGCGCAGTAAGTTTGGAAAGGGAGCACGTAGGACTGCAATCGCATCGAAAGGTATGTGCCCCTCGCGAAGGAAAGGGCGAGTCACTTCGTTTGGTACAAGGAAGCTGACCCCTCTTTCACTAAAGTTAATCCTCGTCATTTGTATCAGAGCAAAAGAAAAATGAAAAAAATAAAGCAAACAGTAGGATGGCGTGGCCAACAGTAATTCGCATTGCATTTGTGTAAAAACTTTTGAACTCGCATGCGTGTGCCTGTTATTGGTGAAATTAGCTCAGGGCCCCGACGTGAGATTTGCGCTACGGTGGTGAACGATGTATGATCTCTGATGTCTCGCAGCCGTAGGTACATATAAGCAAAAGCAGTGAACCGATTTTTTTCTGGAGGGTATTTTTTAACGCATTATGTAACTGCCATGCTCCTTAACTTTGTAAAATGCACACGGACTGAAGCCAGACCCGAACTCATGGCTGCGTACGTTCTTGTGGGCGAACGCCAATTGGGCAACACGCCGCCAACGAAAGCAAAATTTGGGGCCGTGGCGTAGCCCGACAGAAATTGTTTGAGAGCCTCGATGTGTTTGGGTTATGCTAGCCTAGGTGAAGTGTCTTCAGAAAAGGCGACGAATTATTGTTGCGTGTTTGTGCTGGCATCACCTTGGTTGAGCTAGTCTTTTTGCGGCAGCGATGGTTGGGGTGCCAGTTCTCATCCAGCGCAGAAACGTATGAGACTGCTGGATATAAATCGTAGTGCGTTCACATTGGACTGTCGGCGTACTAACGAATGGTAAGACATTGATTGATGCAAACAAAGGTGTCGCAAACGGATTGGTGAAAGCATGGGGGCAAATAGCTGATGACGTAAGTTGCACTGATGCAAATTTAAGTGCTCTCTGTCAAATACATCGCCAGCACAAAGCGAGCCGGTCCGCCACCTCGTCCCCTTACCCTCCCCACCCCAGTGCCAATGAAACAAGCATTGTTGACCGGAGTGAACTTTATTTTCAAGGTCATGGACCGGCCCAAACGAACGCCGAAGCCACGCGTGCCGTACACGCCGGCCGCCGAACTGGAGACGGCGGGAGCCGGTGAGTGGTGCCGGCCAGCGGAGCCCGGTGGGCGACGCGGCGCCGTCCTGACGCCAGTCTTGGGACAGCGTCCTGCCGCACGGCGCCACGTTCATTCAGTCGATTCGCAATGGACGTAACGCTTAGCGCTTAGGGAAGGCTCAGCGGGCTATATGACAGCCCCAACGGCCTCGCCGAGGTGTCTTCCCTCCGGCGCGCGGTCTCCCGCTGCCGCTCGTGACCGTGGGTCGTGGCTTGACCTGCCGCGGCGCCGTCGGCAGGGACGGGCATACGGCGTCGGCGCCGGCACCGGTGCTGGGAGTGCGGCGCCGCGCCGCCGGTCGCCCGCCTCAGTCGCACCGTGGACCGCGCCAACCGCTCCGTGCGGCACAGCTGCGCCGACTGCGTGCTCAAGCAGAAGCTGGACAAGTTCTGCCAGCGCGGCCAGGGCGCACGGGTGAGCTGGTGGCTGCCGCTCGTCGACGCTCGCCGCTGAACCCCCTCCCCTGAAACTGCAGTGTTTGGATGGCTGACTTGTTGTTTGTTGGCTTGTTTAGCTTTGCATTCGTTGGCGGGCCGTGTTGTGACCCCACATGACCTTTGTGAACGGGCTGACGGCTTTGATCTGCGTCGGCGTTAAGTCTCGGTAGGCAGACGTTCACCCTCTCTGCTGTGTTCTTAGTGTGCGCTGAATGACGGGAACTCGGCGCGAGAGTCCCGTGGCGCCACTCTCGGCCGCTTTCTCCTGCGCCCGCCGACTCGCTTGTGGCTGCTGTGCCTCCAGCCGGCCCCGTCCGCCAAAGAGCGCCGTCTGCTGGAGGCCGAGTTTGACGAATTCGCCAGCCTAATGCGCCAGCACCTGGACGACCCGCTGGCCGCCCAGCTCTTCTGCCCCGTCATCCGCAAGAAGCCGTGCGCCTGCATACAGCGCTACGTGCTCGGCAACGGTGGGTCGGCGGCGGCGGCGGCGGCGGCGACGGCGACGGCGACGGCGACGGCGACGGCGGCTGCTCGGCAGCGGCTGCACTAACTTGGATGATCTTGCAGCCTTCCTTACGTGGCATTGGGTTCGTTAGAATACCGCTTTCGTGTTTCGGTAGCGGGTGCCACATTTGTGCCCACCTCACTTTGGAACGCATCCGCTATTCTGGGCCAGGGTCGGTGCGCCCAATGCTCTCTGACGTCTTGGCAGCCGATTCGAGTTTGGCAAATGACGGTCATGTTTTAAATTTCCTTGAATGTGTACAATTCCATACCATATATCGAAATAAGCCTTGTTTCCTCGATTTTTTCATGGATGTGTTAACAAATGAGTTATGGGCGCCATATGGCCATTGTAGTCGGCGTACCCAACGCCTAAACCATCATCACCATCATCATGTCGTTGGCTGGAAGTCAAGGGTACTAGAGAAGGCTACGCAGACGTGACGTTACCATGGGACTAAAGTTTGGTAGACCACAGTGCTTTGTTGTTGTTTTTTTTTTTGATGCTACGAAAAGGTTGTTAGATACTAGCCACGTGATTAAAAACGGAGGTTTCGGCATTGAACTGTATGGCAACCCTGCTCCACGCAAATTAAGATTGGGATTTGATTCCAAAATTAAACCCGACTTAACCGAGTTTTTTAGTTACAGCACCTGCGCCATATTCGTCGGGGCCAACGCGGGTGAATCTTTATCCGTAATGCAGTTTTGTAAAAGGCATATTTAGATGTAAATAAATAGATATATGTAATGTTTACATTAAATTAATTAATTTGCAAGGATTGTGCAACTATCTTCGTATTGCAGTACCTATATGCAGTAAAATGTGAAAATAAGGTAATGTGCGGAGGGTTGGTGCCAAGAATTTTGCTGCTGCTGTGTTATGATCCTCCTAGGTGTTGGTTAACTTGCAGATTTGTAATGTTGAATGAGTTAGATAAAAGTGGTGCGTAAAGAGTAATACGCCCACCGCCCTACAATATCTCTATCAGACTATTTCGAAGCTGAGATATGGGCCTTCATTCTTTGACCGACAGAAATGCAAAACTTGCCAGAAATCGGTACATTTTACAGGAAAATTATACTATCTTGAACTGAAATGGCGCGCGCTGTATTTAAGCTCCCGGGGTTCACCACTCACTGTCCCCATAAGGGCAGGCCAACCCTGCATCCACCCTAGCAGCGCTCCCACTAAAGCTACAGGATGTGTTCCAATTTCTCGATGCGCGTCCCAGGGTGCTGCGAGCCCGTCTTCCCCGTCGTATCTCATTTCCGTCCTATGTTGTTGCATGTTGTACACTTTTACACAGACTGTTTGTAAGCACTGCCGGCTAGAGTTCTTCGACATAAATCACTGGTGAATGAGTAACCCCATCTGTCCGTCGGGGGCAGGCTGGAAGTACGTTTCAGCAATAATTTTGTAGCTCTGGTGTAAACCAATGCCATTCTCCAGCTGAAAATGTTCATTGAGTGTGCTTGGTCCAAAAAAAATTGGTTATGGAAATATTGATTTTTGATATTGATATTTAAACCAAGCCGCAAAGAACGGCGTTTTCACGCCGCCATAGCGTTGGTGGCATATGACTTGATCCCATGATGACGTCACAGCATCGCTACCCAGAATACAGTAATGCGGGGGCTTGCTCGAGGTCGACTCCGCGTGGGTTAGAAGCTGGTGCAAAACGTCTGTATTTCCCGACATGTAGGGAAAAGTAGGTGTGACGGGCAGTGACATTGTAGTCTTGAAAAACATCGTCCTAAGGTCGAGTATGTACAAAGCGACATACTCCCCTCCCTCATATGCAACTATCGTCTTGCTGTAAAGACGGTTTGGTCATAGCAGGGGCCCATTGAGCGGCGCGTACCACCTGGCTCGATTATGGCAGCACTTAAGTATTTTGCGCTTCGGACGAAGTCAGGACAATGGCGATATTATGAGATGTGTTCGGGTTGGTTGAGGTTAAAAATTTGTCTGAATCAGCGTTAAGACCAACACCGGCTGCCATTCCTAGACTCCATCACGGCGAACTTCTGCACGTGACTGAACCAATGTTGGTTTTCAGAGCACGACTCCCACGCGCTTGCCGACTGCCTCCAGCGGGGCCGGGTGCTGTTGGATCTGAGGAAAAGGGCAGAACAGCTCAGGAAGCTCAAATTCCTGGACAGAGTAGACGAGGTGAGCCATCTCGCTCCGTTTTCAGCACGTCCTGCGTTGTATCACACGGCGAAAGCCGAGGCGAGCTCGCCGCACTGGTGACCGAGTGAGCAGGGCGCTGCTCTCGTCCGCCGCCAGGTGTCGGGCGCCTTGCAGCCGGAGCCGGAGCCGGCGGCCGGCGCCCGGCCCGGTCTGGGCGGTGGCCACCGCAAGAACCCGGCCTACGAGCGCCTGGTGCTGCAGCAGCGGCTGCGGCTCAAGGAGGAGCTCTCTCTCTGCGAGACGGCCGCCCAGCGCGTGCTGCTCTACTCCAACTGCTTCCTGCACCGTCGGCTGCGTACTGACCCGCTCAGGTGGGTCTGGATGCGAAAGTGGGGGAGGGGGGGGGGGGGGTTCTGGCGGCGCGGTGAGACTGTAGGGACAGCATGGGTGTGCGGGAGACCAGACGGAGGTGAGCGGCACTGCACTGACCCGCTCAGGTGGGTCTGGGGGCGAGGGTGGAAGGGGGGTTCTGGGGGTGAGGGTGTAGGGGGGTTCTGGCGGCGCGGTGAGGCTGTAGGGACAGCATGGGTGTGCAGAAGACCAGACGGAGGTGAGCGGCACTGCACTGACCCGCTCAGGTGAGTCTGGGGGCGAGGGTGGAGGGGGCTCTGACGGCGCGGTGAGGCTGTAGGGACAGCATGGGTGTGCGGGAGACCAGTCGGAGGTGAGCGGCACTGCATTGACCCACTCAGGTGAGTGGGGGCGAGGGTGGAGGGGGCTCTGACGGCGTGGTGAGGCTGAAGGGACAGCGGGTGTGTGTGGGAGACCAAACGGAGGTGAGCGGCACTGCTCGGTGACACGGCTCGGGTTGCCGGGGTACAGATACAACTACTTCCAGCTGGCACGAATTGAGGTGAAATGACTTGCTGGGGGTTCGTCGTGATTGTTTGCCTAGTTCTGTTGTGGAGCACCCGTAGAGCAGCTTGATCTTACATCAGTTGGCCTTTGACCTTTTTTGTTCCATTTGGTGTTGTCAAGTGCTGAGCGGATGCAAGTTAGCAGTATAACCCCGCGTGAGAGCTGGGTTGGGGTTTATTGTCATGCCCTGGCGTGTCCTGGAAAGGGGCGGTTGTAGCCCATACGATGGTCGATATTTCGTTTTATTGGCGGGCTGTACCCTGGGTGGGCTCACCAAGAATGTCAGGAGTCATTCCGGTTGGGGCTCATGGGGTCCTCGGTGTGAGCATGCAGGGTTGGATGTGATGTCGATTTGTAATGCCGGGCTGGCTCCGGTAGGCGTTTTCGTGGCGTCAAGTGCGGCGGACTTCTGCTGGCCATTTGTGCGCCCAAGGATTTTTAATTTTGGCTGGCAAAGTTATGCAGTGACGATCAGGTTGCTGTCTTTTCTCTATTATGTATCATACTGTTTCACTAGTCATATGTTAATGGTTTCGTAAGATGGTTAAGGACAATGGAACCTGCTTTTGTTTCTTGGCACCGGCACCTCATCAGTTGTGTCGAGGACCGGCTTTTTGACGGTTAAGCCATGTTTGCCGTGTCTCATTGATATCTGAGCTCCTTTTTGCCCCAGTTTTGGTTTTTGCGCGTTGGACAGATACCAGCGCGGTATGATATTTACTTACGTTTGGTGGTGATGTGGCGAACGCGACATGCGTTCGTAAAGCCTAGCATGTGGTAACGCGCATTGAGCATGCCTACCGCTTTTCAGACAAAATCGAATCCAGAAGACAAATGAGAAGCGACACAAGGTGCTCCTGAAGCCCATCAGCGAGCTCTCTGCCATCGCCTGCTGCTCTCAGGGCTGCACCAGAATGGCCGACACCTATTCCTCGTAAGCCAAGTGGCGAATATGTTGACGCCCGCTGTTTAAGCTCGTTTCCTTGCTTGCTGGAGCTTTCAAGTCCTGCTTTCTTGTTGAGGCATTCTGTTTGTGTTGAATGAAATGACGTCTGGTGGACATACAATCCTGGTTCTGTGCTTGGTTGATCAGCAGTAGTTTCTCACATAAGCGCGGGCCTCGTCACAGTGCAAAGTTTGGTGCCGTCCTTGTGCGACCGTGCTTGGTGACCGCCATGACCTTGGGACCGCAGCGCGGTGGCGTCTGGGACCAGGATACTTCCTTGCCGTCGTGCTCAGCTGCCAAACACGTTCCGCTCGCGTGCATTTGACAGGGGAGCAAACGCCACACGTCCCTCGAGTGTTACCTCCAGCGTTGTTTTATATGCGATACAGTGTGCGCTTAGCTTGTAGGAGATTGAAAACAGGAGTGGGATACCACGGACTTTGAACCAAATTTATCGGCAACGCTTTTGCTCCTGGCCGTATGGATGACATCCAAGATGTTTCCTGCCCTCCCACTACCTCCTTATTGGGAGATTTTAATGTCACCGGTGAGAGGCGCAGCACAGTGACCCGACCGTGGTGTGGACGTTTCTCCGGGGCTCGCGAACGGCAATGCCCGGCCGGCCGGGCCTTGTCGGGCCGGCTGTGCTGACCGAACGGTGCCGTATCGCCAGGCTGGTGAGCCGGTGGCGGGGCGAGGCCGGCGGCGGCCAGCGGGCGGCCCGCACCGTGCTCGCACAGATGCTGACGCCCTGCGCTGCCGGCAAGCGCAACTGCCTCGCCTTCGTGCACCTGGTGACTGGTGAGGAGTGCGGCCAGCGGGCCGCCGCGGGCTGTGCAGAGGGCGCAGCTGGACGCGTTCCAGTCGGGCCGGTGGGAGGCAGAGGCGGGCCGCTACATCATACTGCCTTGCGTATCGCAACAGGTGCATTCAGGACCTCTCCGACAGCGAGTCCTCCTTGTTAAGGCCCACGGGCCCCCTTTGTCCACTAGGAGAAAGATATTAGGCAAGAGATACGCCTGTAAGTTGGCACAGTTCCCCGATCACCCATCATACAAGTGGGTCTTCTCCCGCCGCACAATACGTATGTTTCTGACGGGGACAGTACATCGGATCGCACCTTTCTGCGTGAGGATGTTCATACTTTTACAAGAATGTGGTATTCGCACACGGCATTTGATCCGTTGGGAAATTTCTGAGACCCCTCCTTGGAGGCTCTACCCACCAGCGGTGGATGTCTCACTTTCCCATTTCGCGAAGGGGCGTTTGTCTCCGGATGAGTTTCGGCTGAGGTCTTTGGAGCTGATCGCGTCGTACCCGGATCACAAGAAGACCTACACCGACGGATCGAAAGCGGATGCCGGTGTTGGATGTGCTTTTGTTCAAGGTCCTGTTACACGGTCTTTTGCTTTGCATGGTCACGCATCGGTCTTCACATCCGAGCTAGTAGTCATTCTTAAAGCACTCCATTTCATTGAAGTTGACAGTGACGACCAACACTTAGTTTTATCGGACTCTCTTAGTAGCCTGATGGCACTGCAAGGTTTAGATTCATCACATTTCATCGTTCAGAACATTTTAACTCTTCTTACTATACTGTCGCGATCCGGGAAGCAGGTGGTATTCTGCTGGATACCAAGCCACGTTGGCATATCGGGTAATGGAGCGGCTGATGCCGCAGCAAGGCGCGCCACACACGCATTTGGCACCCTTACGATGACAGTCCCCGCTAACGACCTATATGCAGTGGTATCTGGCTTTATGTCGAAGCAGTGGCAAGCGAATTGGGATGTGCATGCTGCCAATAAACTGAGAGAGATAAAGCCCCGGTTGGGACCAGTGGGCGTCCAGCTCTCGCAGGGTGAGGCGGGAGGAAAAAGAAAAAAAAGGAAAAGGAAGTGACGCTTTGCCGGCTGAGAATAGGCCACACATACGCAACTCACCGATACCTGTTATGCGGGGAAGACCAACCGCGGTGTCCTCACTGCGGGGATCGTTACACCGTACGACATGTCTTGATAGATTGTGCCCACCTCGCCTTTGAACGTATGCGCCAATTTGGATCTGGGTCCTTGCGTCCAACGCTCTGTGGCATGTTGGGAGACGATTCCAGCTCAGTACATGACGGTCACATTTTTAGTTATCTTGAAGACGTACAGTTTCATGCCATATATCGAACCAAACCTTATCTCCCCGATTTTTCAGGCGACTGTTAGATAAAAAGTAGGTTATGGGCGCCATATGACCAACGTGCGCCCCAAAGTCCAAATCATCATCATCATCATCAGAGGCGGGCCGCGTGACTCCGCCTCGGTGGGCGGCAAGGGGAGAGGGTCCACCGCACCGGGTGCGGCGTGCAGGAGCGCAGCTCACCCCCTTCGCCCGGCCAGGATGTTCGTGCGTGTTCTGACAGTGGGCCGCTGCTGTTGGGCCCCGCGGGCGGCTGGTGTCCCGCCGGCGCCTGCTGGGCGCGTCACTGGTGTGAAGCGTGAGCGGTGCGCGCTGGCGAGACGGTTGCTGAGTCGACGGCCGGCTCACACTCGGCCGTGGCGCTGACGAAATTGTGGTCTCATGCGGCGACGAGAGACACGAGATCCGTCCGTCAAGTCGCCGAGGCGACCCCACGGCGGAGACGGCGACTGGGAGCCGCGGAGAATGTTCCGCCGTTGCTTGACACGCGATCGGCGTGGGTCCGGCTGCGGGACGCAGCGACCCCTGCCCGTGTGTGGCCGACACATCCGCCTGCTGCAGGCTGCAGTGACCGGACCATGATGTCCGTGCTGGTCCAGCTGGAGGACTCGCGCGGAGACCGGACCCCGCCCGTTCACGGTCTCAAGACCTACTGGGCGCGCAGGAAGGCCCAGAATGGTGCGTACACACCCGGAGATGTCTAGCAGATGTGATAAGTTTTGTATCGTGCCGTTATGTCTTGGACAGCCTAGCGATTTGGGATGTTTACTTTTCTTTGCTGAGGGTTTTGCTGCTTTTTCCCGTCACGCATTGTCTATTCTTTTTATTGGGACGATAGCTTATCGCCTTCTCAGGCACTCACATCTTCTCCGTCACACCCGGGATCAAAGTCGGATCGTCGCTTGGCTCGCAGCGTCCTGTCACCGGACATCAGTCGGCGGCTGCGTTCGTTAACTGTGGCCTCTGGCGCAGGTCTGACGCCGGCGCTGAGCGGTGGTGACCCGGCCGGCCCTGCCTCTGGGGGGAAGACCCCGCCCGCCGCCGCCCCGGCTCCGGAGGCGCGGGCGCAGCCTTCGGCCGACCCGGCGCCCGGTCCGCACGCCGTGGTACGGCTCCGACGCTGACTCCAGCCGCCGCTGTCGGCTGGCGCTGTTGCGTCCAATCACATGTGGCGTGGCAGCAGTGCATGTGCTGATGCCGGCGGCTAATTGTATGGTCATGCGATGGTGAGAGCCCATTCTCATGCAGTGTGCTCTCTGGCTGCCCGACACTGCGACACGTGATATTTGACACTGTGACGTCACACAAGGCCCCTGCGTGACTGTACGATGTTTTGGCCTCTTGGTGACGGCGATTCGGCGCGCGTGTTCTGCTAGGAGAGAGTTTTGTCGCATCAGTCGGATGCGGGTAATGATGGCGATATCATCAATGGACGTATATGGTGGGTGATAAGAGCAGTAGAGCCGTTACCCGTGCTGAAGACCGGCACCATGGGCCTTATCCTGCGACGGGAGCCGTGCTGGGGCCTCGCCACCTGGAGTCCCAACACGCCTCCACGGCCCGGTCACTGACGGGAGTCGCCCGCCGCACCGCAGGCGCGCCGGCAGGCGGCCACCATCGCCCGGCTGCAGCGGCAGCTGGCCCAGCAGCAGTTGGTCATCGACCAGCAGCGGCGACACATCGACAGCCTGGCCCCGCAGCCCGGCTAGTACTCGCCACGGCCGCCAGGGGCACCGCAGCAGGTTGGGGCGCGTCAGACAGGTTGCCTGCCAGGTGTGATCTGCGGCTTTGTAAGCGATTGGAAGTGACGCTCTGTGTGCTGCGTCCTTGGAGTTTCAAGACGTGTATGAAGGATGTTAAATGATTTGCAAAGGCCTTTCACCTCTGTGTGGCTGTTGAGCTCGACAAGGTTTGTCTGTAACACTTTTGTGTTATCCGTTCACAAACGGCATGTTCCTGCAGCTCGTGGTCCGCCAGTGCACCAGTTCCGCGGTGAAGTGAACCGCTTTTGCTGCCAATCGGCGAATTTGAATGAAACTAGATTTTGATATTTCTTTTAGATTGAGCTCCGCGAGCTGACGGCGTCGTGACCGCGCCCGCCACTCCTGATGGCCAGGCTGTGCTCGCTGCACTGGGAGCCCGTGACCGCGCCCGCCACTCCTGATGGCCAGGCTGTGCTCGCTGCACTGGGAGCCCGTGACCGCGCCCGCCACTCCTGATGGCCAGACTGTGCTCGCTGCACTGGGAGCCCGTGACCGCGCCCGCCACTCCTGATGGCCAGACTGTGCTCGCTGCACTGGGAACCCGCGACCGCGCCCGCCACTCCTGATGGCCAGACTGTGCTCGCTGCACTGGGAACCCGTGACCGCGCCCGCCACTCCTGATGGCCAGACTGTGCTCGCTGCACTGGGAACCCGTGACCGCGCCCGCCACTCCTGATGGCCAGACTGTGCTCGCTGCACTGGGAGCCCGTGACCGCGCCCGCCATTCCTGATGGCCAGACTGTGCTCGCTGCACTGGGAACCCGTGACCGCGCCCGCCGCTCCTGATGGCCAGACTGTGCTCGCTGTTCTGGGAGCCCGTGACCGCGCCCGCCACTCCTGATGGCCAGACTGTGCTCGCTGTTCTGGGAGCCCGTGACCGCGCCCGCCACTCCTGATGGCCAGACTGTGCTCGCTGCACTGGGAACCCGTGACCGCGCCCGCCACTCCTGATGGCCAGACTGTGCTCGCTGCACTGGGAGCCCGTGACCGCGCCCGCCACTCCTGATGGCCAGGCTGTGCTCGCTGCGCTGAGAGCCCGCGACTGCCGTGCGGACGGCGGCGACTCCGCGGGCGCCTCGCCCTGGGCCTGGGAGAAATGGGTGCGGCCTGCGACCGTTGGCCACCATCCCGGTCGCCCTGGGCCCAGAGGGAATGGGTGCCGGCTGCGACCGTTGGCCACCATCCCGCTCGCCCTGGGCCCAGAGGGAATGGGTGCCGGCTGCGACCGTTGGCCACCATCCCGCTCGCCCTGGGCCTAGAGGGAATGGGTGCCGGCTGCGACACTGGGCCACCATCCCGCTCGCACGGATGGGGGCCCACCTGACTTCAGTGTCGTGGCTGAGGGTCTGTCACGAGGACTTTGATTTGATGTCTATTGCCTCCCATGATAATGCGTGTTTGCGCGATGTTTGACCCGAGCACTGAGTGGAACAACCCCTCCTTTAAGGAGTCAATACACGAGATACGACAATCTGTGCTGTTGATGATTGCTGCCGCTGCTGGGCGTCTCCGGAAGGCCCCTCCGCGAGCCCGTCCGGTTGAGATCAGTGTCTCTCCGCATGTTCGGCAGTGACCAACATGGTAACGACCCATCACCGGCCACCCATGCCGGCGGGCCGTGTGGTCGCGGTGGCATGAGAGAGTTGTTTTTACACGGGACCGTAGCGTGGGAAGCGACGGCGAGCGCTTCTCTCGAGGCGGACCGCCAGCGGCTCGAGCGGTCAGTGACACTCGATGGCGCACGCACCAGGTGGAGCTCTCTGCGCTTGCTTTTTGTGCTCGAGGACGCACATGGATCTGACTGAGATTCCCATGGGCGGGCCTGTCGCCGGGTAAGTGCTTCTTACGTTGATGGTAAAGTCTTTGCTCGTGTTTCAAATTTCAAAAAAAGTGGTTCAAAATAGTATTTATGTGATCTCGAGAGAATTCTGGGCAGGCTCGGCGAGCAGCATGCCGGAATTCGACCATCAGTTGGGCACCGACCCGTCGTTCGACCGAACAAAGCTTGGACGTGCCCCAGCGCGAGCGCCAGCGCTGACTTGGGGAGCCGTTGTGTCACGTGTTTTGCCGTGACGTCGGCAGGATCGCCCCGCTCCGCCGCCTCTGCCTGCCTGACTGGGCGTGCGTTCGTGGAAGCGTCACGAATCTAGCCAAGTGCACCGGCGCGTAATGTACCAGCACTTTTCGGTGATGCGCTTGCCAGCTGCCCGGACGTCTGTCACCTTTCCCAGCCCATCGGTGGCGCTGATCGCCGCCAGCGCCGCCGCGCGGTGACCCGTAGGGCAACTTAATCTTGCGTAAGCTTGACTTTTATGTCCTCGGAAGAGGACCTGCCCCCGTATCTGGCTTGCCATGCCGTTGATCGGGGGTGACATGCACAACTTACGGCCACAGCTAGGAAAGTTAAGGCCTACTATCGGCCGTTTTCAGCTGTCCTGCCTTGATAAGCTTGAGGCAGCCAAACTAGCAGTTACACGCATCGCGAAACAACTGAAAGATAGAGCGATCTTCAAACGGACTTCGCGTATGGCTCGAGGCCCGGTGACGGTCCTCCGCGCGTCTCCGACTAGCCGTGCCGTTCGGCGTGCGCCCGAGCAATAACGGGGAGAGGGGCGTTAGCGCCGCGGGACATATTGGGGTCCCGTGCGGTCGATTCGAGACGGGCCGGCGCCGCTCGTAGTGGGTATTTCGGGCCACTCCGTCGGTATGAGAGAGGCTGCCTTCAGCTGAAGCGATCCATGCCCGGAACAAGCGGCGTCCCCGGCCGCTGCCGGCCCGAGGGGCAGGCGGGGCGGAGGTCGTCGGCGGTGATGCACCTGCTGCTCGGTCTGTGGCGCGGGCTGTCCGTTGCTGATCTGATCTCGGTTCACACATGTCGTTCCATTTTCCGTGGCTTCTGTTGATTCAGGTCGGGGTCTTGCGTCGTCGGCCGGACGCGCCAGGCGTTCTTGGGGTCTGTTTTAGCATGTAATAAGGCGTGAGTATGAGGTTTAATGACCAGAATACAATACCCTCCCGATTCTTGTGCTCGACCAACTACCTCTTGAGGTTTGCAGCTGCATAGTGGACCAATGACGTCTGTTGAATGGCCTGACTAGCCATCCCGCCTCCTGGTTGGAAACGGCTGGCGGTCGGCGCGTGCGATACAGGAGGATCAAACAGCGCATTGCACATAGACGATGGATGTGACCCTTACGCTGCTTACGCAATGGCCGTTCTATCTATGTGGGACAGATCGTATCTCGACATTCCGTGCAGATAGTGTCTGCCGTCTGGTTCCTAGTGGTGAGTCGAAGGGGCCTCTCAATGGGACTCGTCGATGCATAGACGGAGTTTATGGAAGTGCATGCAGTAATTTGTGCGGACGCATTTGCGATCATGGAGTCGAAGATGAAATGTGGCGGCATAGTGAAAGGTGTTTGTCATGGACGGTGAGATGCCGTACATTCGGTTAATATGCAAGTACTTTCTCACGAAGCGATTATGTGGCGGGTTTGTCTCATAATCCACAGACGGTTGCGTCAGCCCTCACATACCTTCGTGCCGGGGTCCACCACACTGCCGGCGGTCCCCATTAAACTAACGCCAGTCGCGGGGCAGCACTGACCTGACCACGGTCGGCAGTGGCTGCAGCCCCCGTCCGTGTTAAAGCGCATGTGTGTCTAGCCAACCACTGTCAGAATCATGCTCGTGATCACTTGTTGGCTGTGACTAAGAGCGTCACCTTGTCACGGCCTCATTGTGAATGAGGCCGCGGCCTCGGCTGGTCCCGAACTGCAACGTCTCTCGGTCCGCTGGCCCGATCGGCTGATTGGCTCCCGTAGTTAGGATTCCTCAGCGCATGCCCAGAGCACCAAATTAATGTAGGACGCTTGCGACAAACGACGCACTTTGAGTTATACTGGGCACCGATGATCCCTACGCATTGCACTTTGTGCAAAGTTCATGCGTTGCGCTGAAGATTGCATGCCGGATAATTACTCAAATGTCAGTGGGTTGCACTGGACTTTTACCCACATTTTATGCTTTCCAATGAGTCGCCCTGTCAGTTCCTTGGGCCGTGGCTTCGGGCCATGCCCCGCATCACGAGCCAACGACAGTCTCTGAGCGATATTTCGATTCCCATGACCCTTGTGCCAAGCTAGGCGTCGCATAGAAAGAATGGGCCACGAATGCTCCCGTCGCCTGTCATCAGCTGTCAGTGACGCCCTGCCTCCGGCGAGAGCAAGAAAATATGTTTTAGGAGCGAGCGCAGAGAACCGGTTCGTTACCGGCGAGACGGCGCTGTTCCGAGATCGCCGGGGGGTAGGACGACTCTCTCCGTTGCGTGCAGGCCCGAAGGACAGCCTCACGGTCGTCTGTGGTCACGGCTGACGCGGGGGAAACGTGCTGACTGTCTGGGATGTGCTCAGGCCATACCTGAGCACCCCGT